TTAAGCAGAAGTACTTTAATAGAGTGGAGAATTGTGTTCCATCCCACCTCCAATATCTTGAAGCCCCAATGTATCTGGATATAGGGTTTTTAGGCGTAGAGGAGGTTAGAAGGATTCATAAGGGTGTGGCCCTCATCCAGTAGGAGTGTGGCCTTCTAAAGAGCGATTGAGATCTTGAGATCTTGATGTCTCTCTCTGCCCTTAAGGACACTGAAAAGTGAGCAGCGTGGCCATGTGCAAACCAGAGGGAAAGTCCTCACTACTGACCCTGACCTTGGACTTGCAGTTTCCAGAACTGTGAGAAAATAAAGTTCTGTGGCTTAAGTCACCCAGTAGTTTGTGATGGTGGCCTGAGCAGGCTAGGACAGCTGGGTAGAAAGCCTGCAGACTCTCCAGGAGGACGAGACAGCCAGCCCTGGGCCGCACTGCCAGAAACAGTGCCCAAACTGACCGTGGGGCTGTCCCTTGAGCCCTGGGCCATGGCCTTCAGTACACACACCATGGCTTACTTGAGGGTAGGGTGGAGCCCCTGGAAGCAGAGGTACTGGCTGCTTTGTTACCATTGGGTAGAATCCTCTGCACTGGTTCTCGGTTTCCATTAGAAACGCCCTGTGATGTGTTTAATGGCAGAGTCCAGATCACAACAGAAAAGTGCTTTGGTTTCTCTTGTGCAGAGGTGGGACTCCTACTGTGCAGTGCGCTTAAACATAGGAAGGATATGCATTTGTGTGTTGCTTATAGCCTGCCATTAATGACCTCTGACTTCTATTTTCATTGTTTAAATTTCTACTTCCTTTAAGAACAACGAGAAAAACCAGGTCCCCCCTCTCCCCTCCCTTTCCTCTACTGAATTTGCTCAGATACCTGTGGAAGTAACTAGGGCCACCAGGGCTGAGATTCTACACACAAAGGATCGATGAGGCGGGGAGCTGCTGTACTGCAGCCACTTTTCTCCTGGTGGAATCTGCAAACACGGGCACAGGGAAAGAGGTCAAGAATCTAAACTTCTCCTGGGTAAGAGGCCTACTGCCAGGGCACAAAGAAACCAATTTTTGGCCGTGGAGACAAAACTGGGGACTTCTGAGGCTGATCTCCTAGGAAGAAAGGAGGGATAGAAGACATTTAGTAAATTCTGATACCTTGCAGGGCAAAAGGCAAAGAATCAAGCAGAAAATCTGGTAAAACAGTTTCCCAAAGTCTTGCTACACTGTGGAGACAAGGGTTAGTGCCCAGGCCTGGGGAGAGGAGACCTGCTGAACGCTGATGGTTCTCAATGGGAAAGGCAAATGCTTACGCGGAAGCCCAGGTTATCAAAAGTGAAACCCAGGTTCCATCTGGAGCAACCTCTGATTGAACTAGGATAAGTGGGCCCGGAGTGGTGGTGTATGTCTATAATCCCAGTACTCTGGGAGGCTGAGGCAGGAGGATTGAAAATTGGAGCCCTGCTGTGGCAATTTAGTGACTCAGTGAGACTCTGTCTCTAAATGAAAAAGGGCCAGGAATGTAGTTTATGTAAAGGACCTGGGTTCAATCCTTAATGCAGGGGTGGGGAGGGAGAGAGAGAGAGAAAAAAGAAAAAAGAAGAAAGAAAGGAAAAGGAAAAGAAAAAAGGAGTATCAGTCCCATGTTAACTGATTTATAGACAATGGGTGAGTCTCTCCAGAGCTAGGTAACAGAATTTGAGACTTTTTTTTTTTTTTTTTTCATACACAGTGACTGGCATTCAAAAAGTCACAGGATCTGCTAAGAGACAGGACCAAATAATTAAAAACAAAGAGAAAAAATAGTCAGTAGAAAGAGATGAACAGGTGAACAAGGTATTGGCATTAGACAAGAGCTTTAAAATAACCATTATTGATATGTTCAAGAAAAACACGGAGAAAGTGGATGAAAAGAGAGATAATTTTACCAGAAAATTCGAATCCACTGAACTTAATGATCCAAAATATTGGGAGCCTAGAGGATTTATTTGACTCCCTCATTGACAAAAAGGTTTTGTGTTTTTTCGTTTTGTTTTTGTGGTACTAGGGGTTGAACTTGGGTTTTGTATGTGCTAGGCAAAAAAAAAAAAAAAAAAAAAAGATCTACCACTATATTCCCAGCTCAACAGAGAATTTGAAAATACTGATTTGGTTCTGTATAAGCTATAAAATTTTGTGGCTTATAGTCTTAAAATTTATTTAGTTATTTGCTTATTTATTTATTGCTGGGCATGGTGGTGCATACCTTTAATCTCAGCACTCTGGGAGCTTGAGGCAGGAGAATCACATGTTCAAGGCCAGGCTGGGCAGCTTAGTTACTAAGCAAGAACTTGTCTCAAACAACAAGGACCAAAACCAAACCAAACCAAACCGAAACAACAAACCTACACACATACATGTGTGCGTGTGGACACAAAACTAAAAACACAACAAAAAACAAACAATGGCACACAACAAAAAACAAACAATGGCTAGGGATACAGATCATTACAAAGGCCCTGGGTTCAATCCCCAGTACTGAAAATTTATTTTATTTTTATTTTTTGCCATCCAACTTGGCCAACACTGGCGGCTATCATACTTCTCAAGTGCCTTCCTTAAAAGGTGACTTAACGGGTGACATATTATGTCCCGAGTTTCACACCATTCCATAAGCCCATTTCTTTAGCATGGGGGTCTGTCTACTAGGAGAAAAAGTTCTGTCTCTGTCTGTCTGTCTGTCTATCTATCTATCTATATATTTTTAATGAGATGAGGTCTTGCTGTGTTGCTCAGGCTCCAGAATAGCTGGGACTACAGGTACATCCCAGTACTACCACACTTGGCTGCTAATTCTTCTCTGTATATCCTTTGGGGAATGAACGTGGGGAACATTAGGTAAGGTGGTCAGAGGCCTCTCCGAGGGTGACTTTTGACTTGTGTGGCACTGGGTGACAAGGAGGAGCCAGCCAGGAGAGGATTAGGGTGAAGTGTGGTGGGGAGTGGAAGGGACAAAGAGTACAAAGATTTAATCAGGGTTGACAACCATTTCTGCAATGAACCAGAGAGTGAACAGTGTAGGTATGTGAGCCATACAGTCTGTTGCAACTACTTAATTCTATCGTTAAAGGGCAAAGGTAGACGCAGGCAATAAATAAATGGATGGTACTATTCCTATAAAATTTTATGGATACTAAAATGTGAATTTCATATACTTTCCCCGTGTCACAAAGTATTTTTTTTTCCAACCATTTTTAACACTTCAAACCCATCTTAAATTCTGGTACCACAGAGCCGGGTGTGGTGGCACATGGCTGTAATCCCAGCACTTGGGAGGCTGAGGCAGGAGAATTGCTGTGAGTTAGAGGCCAGCCTAGGCTACATAAGCGAGCTCAAGGCCAATCTGCACTGCATAGTGAGACCTTGTCTCAAAGGCAAACAAAAAAATTTCTGGTACTAGGGTTAAGTAGACTGAGGTTGGACCAAGCAGCTCCTTGTAGGACAAGGTAATAATCACAGTAAGTCAAGCCTGGGATTGGTGCCCCATGCCTGTAAGCCTAGCAGTCTGGGAGGCTGAGTCAGGAGGATTCTGAGTTCTGCTCAGTCTGGGGCAATTTAACGACTTGGGGAGACCCTGTCTCAGAACTAAAAAGGTGGGGGGAGTAAGGGCCAAGGGTACAGCTCAGAGCGAAGGCCTTGGTTTCAATCCCCAGTATCACAAAAACCCAAGACAAAACGAAGCCCCTTTTCCCTAATGGGGCCGGCCAGGGTACCAAGTTGGGACCTGGCAGCTTCCCTACAGGCCAGGGAAAATCCTCAGGTTTGCTTTATATTTTTCTCCCTAGTTTCAAGAAAGAACAAAAAGGTACACACAGACAGCGGGCCAGAAACCGTCTCGAGAGGACGTGCCCAGGTCCACGCGGACGCCTCCGCGGCGCGCACTCCGGCTTTTAAAGTTGGGCGCACACCTGCTCGCAGCCGGAGCGCACCTGCTGCGCGGCGCTCCGGCCTCGTCTCGCGAGATCGCTGGGTAGTAGTGGCCCCCACCCCCACCCGGCCGCTGAACCCCTTTCCCCGCCCCCTCGCTCCTGCCGTCTCCTCCGCCCCGGGGAGCAGCCCCGGCCCGGCG